GTCACCTCCTTGGTGCTCTCTCACCAGGTGGACAGGCATGCTCTTCGGCATAGCGTGATTGGATATCGTTCCCCAAAGTGTCCACCAGGATGCAGCGTTGAGTTCCCTAGAAGGGGAACGTCTCGGGTTACCTATGTAACCATGGTTCCCTGAGATGGAACGAGATGCTGCGTCCCCTTGCTATGCCTCGGCCTGCCTGTTTACGTCTCCTCAGACAACTGAGTTGGTGACGTATTCAGAAGGTGCCCTTTTATACTTTTGGGTACCTGCCTATGACGTCACAGGCCATGTGGACCAATAGGATTGGAGTTGATTTACACATGCTTCAGACACCGGTCATGCTGGCAGCATTCCCCAAAGTGTCGGACGCAGCGTCTCGTTCCCTCTCGGGGAACCACGGTCACATTGGTAAGCTGAGACATTTTGTTAAAGTTAACTAAAACTATTATTATTATTATTATTAAATAAAAAACAATAAAATACTAATATTTTGTGGGGAGAAAAAAAACTTAAAACAAAACTTTAACAGAAAATAGAAATGTTGCTTTGCTAATTCAAAATGCTATAATAGTATATAAATAATACTAAAATAAGACTGGCATACACTTTCTGCAATTGTACCGCAAATAACCCTAAACTGACATATTTCAAGGGGCATTTAACATAAACTCTGTGGCTTTGATTTGTAATCCACAGAAGCAGTTGTTCTGTACTTACCCTGTTGAGATTACGTTGTGTCTCAATGATGTTCCTCTCCACTTTGTCTGCATTCATCTGCAACTTATCATTCAAGGCCACTAAATAAGTGACAGGTGGTCTGAGGTAGAAAAACAAATAGTATGAATTTTCATTTTTTTTTTTTTTTTTCAGTTTGATATAGTTTCAGTGTGGCAAATATACAAGTTTCGGTCTGCATGTTTCCAAAGTACTGCTGCAAATTATATTAGGTTTTGTTATGTTGAATCTCTGCATCTTGGACAGAACACCTCACTTCAATTATTTGACATGCTGAGATGCTCTGAAAATAAATACAGGGCTTGGACTTCAGATCTATTGTAGGAGAACCATGGTACTAACAAAAATGTTATCTTAGCTTAACCACACCGGGGAAAAAACAACAACAAAAAAAAACATTACAGCAGCCTAGCATAGTATAGTTCATTAAGCACATTCTAGAGAAATGTTGTTTTGACAGTGCAGAGACATGACTAAACTTGTTCAGAAACAAATTACACACCTCAAACAGATCTAACATGTTTTCCTAATGTGCCACTATATGCAAAAAGGATAAAGAGGAAATATGTCATCTGATCTAAATACATCTGCATATGAAATCCATCAACATGAGTGGTAAAACACTTTAACAGCTGGACTGTTAAAGCATGAGATAATGTATCCAATTTTGTTGTAATTTATGTAATCACAAACAACTATTAAAGCAGCAGCAGCAGCAATAATAATAATAATAATAAAATAAATTAAATCAAATGAAAGCTATTGATGAGCTCTTTCTACTGCCAAAAGGACACAAGTGTATTCTTAATAATTTCGGAGTTATTCATTAGAAACCAAAAGACTTAACACTGAAAATACTAAGCGAGTTTGTGCCAAAAGGGCGTAACAGCAATTACGCCACTTTGCCATTGAAAAATGTATTATGGGTAAAGCCTGTTGACAGCACATAAGTCAAAATGGCTGACAGCACATGTAATTCAATGTCAGTGAGGTGTAGTTAGCAGGTAACTCTGCGGCACTGTTAGTACATCCCACAGGACCATATTAGACTCGGATGATCAATTTCAAAACATTTGAAAAGCAAGTCACGTAAAGATTGCTTTCAGTTTATGATGTTAGTACTATCTCCAACCAGGAGTAGGACGTGCGCTCTAATGTAAACATTCACTAACATTAGCAAATAATAAATGCAAAACTGACCATGAAAACAGTATTTTCCAGTCAAGATGGTAAACAGATTATCTTTTTACCAAGTTCAAGGGGATATCCTTATGTTTGGATTGTTTGGAAATCTGTATTTTATTTAAATTGCCATCACACCACTGCTCACAATCTTCGGGGACGCCAGAGTTGCACTTGCCTCAAATTTCAAAAGTAAAATTCATAGTTAACAAATGCTTTTTAGCCAAATGCATGACAGAAATGTTTGCACTGAACTATGTTCTTATTAGGGTTTCCACGGGTCCTTAAAACGTCTTCAGTTAAATTGTTTACATTTAAGGCCATGCAAACTCTTAAATGGTACAAAATGTCTAAATTATAAGAGGTATTTGTGGACGGAAAGACAATAATCGCTATATGGATTAATATGATGATTAAACTTCGAAAGGCTATGATTTCACTGAATAAACTTGAGTGCTGCACGTCAGCTTTGTGTACTGCGGTTACCGGGGAAACCACTATATAATAATAATAAAATAAATTAAATCAAATGAAAGCTATTGATGAGCTCTTTCTACTGCCAAAAGGACACAAGTGTATTCTTAATAATTTCGGAGTTATTCATTAGAAACCAAAAGACTTAACACTGAAAATACTAAGCGAGTTTGTGCCAAAAGGGCGTAACAGCAATTACGCCACTTTGCCATTGAAAAATGTATTATGGGTAAAGCCTGTTGACAGCACATAAGTCAAAATGGCTGACAGCACATGTAATTCAATGTCAGTGAGGTGTAGTTAGCAGGTAACTCTGCGGCACTGTTAGTACATCCCACAGGACCATATTAGACTCGGATGATCAATTTCAAAACATTTGAAAAGCAAGTCACGTAAAGATTGCTTTCAGTTTATGATGTTAGTACTATCTCCAACCAGGAGTAGGACGTGCGCTCTAATGTAAACATTCACTAACATTAGCAAATAATAAATGCAAAACTGACCATGAAAACAGTATTTTCCAGTCAAGATGGTAAACAGATTATCTTTTTACCAAGTTCAAGGGGATATCCTTATGTTTGGATTGTTTGGAAATCTGTATTTTATTTAAATTGCCATCACACCACTGCTCACAATCTTCGGGGACGCCAGAGTTGCACTTGCCTCAAATTTCAAAAGTAAAATTCATAGTTAACAAATGCTTTTTAGCCAAATGCATGACAGAAATGTTTGCACTGAACTATGTTCTTATTAGGGTTTCCACGGGTCCTTAAAACGTCTTCAGTTAAATTGTTTACATTTAAGGCCATGCAAACTCTTAAATGGTACAAAATGTCTAAATTATAAGAGGTATTTGTGGACGGAAAGACAATAATCGCTATATGGATTAATATGATGATTAAACTTCGAAAGGCTATGATTTCACTGAATAAACTTGAGTGCTGCACGTCAGCTTTGTGTACTGCGGTTACCGGGGAAACCACTATATTTCTGCAGTTCCGAAAGTGACACCTGCTGGCAGAGAACGAATTAGCTTTTTCAATAAGCCCTTCTGCTATTTTTGCTACATATTTTTTAAATGTGAACCAGTGGATCGACAAAAAGCTAATGCATTATAAAAATCTAAACAATTAAGACACTAATATATTTATATGGTATTTAATATAATAATTAATTGATAACAATTGTTTAATTTAATATAATAATTTATACTTTTGACTCATCCCTTTTCTTTAAAATTGTTTAAAGGCTGAAATGTGAAGAGCAGAAAGGTTTTTAAAGGTCTTAACATTGATTATAAAAATCCTGCAGACACCAGGTTATTTTATGGTACCATTTGGAATAACTTGTTTTGAAAATGTTCTGTGGGCCACTAATAAAAAAAGGACCTCTGTACATTTGTTTGTTGCAAATTTACAGACAATGCAATTGAGATGTTTACATTGGCTTGTTGAGGTAATACAGTATTTCTGTCCACTGACAACAAAGTTGCACAAGTTTTATAGTTAATCAAATCTTTATATATATATATATATATTATATAACAAAATTTGTTGTTTCAATTTAGCAGACTTTAAGTATACCAGTTTGTAATTATGTAAATAATATGTAAATGTATTTGTAGTATACTTAGCATGAAATAAATGTATTTCAAATACATTTCTGTATATTTGTTTTTCACTAGGGAAGTCATCTGTAAAGGCTTTTAAATCGCCCATTTGGCCAAATAGTTGAGTGGCTGGGATTACTATTTTAGTAAAAGTGATCACATTCAATTAACTAATTTGATTAGAGGACTTTTTATGTGATATTTCATTGCATCACAATAGATTATTTATTTTAAACTCATTAATGTAATGCTTTGTTAATATTTGTCATCAGATGCGCCCGTTTTTATATTCGCAAAATGGAATAATATATTGGTGCCAAAAAGGTGCGTGTGACTTCTTCTTTAATAAATGTTAAAATAGTGTTCAATGAGTATACTATCATCCATGTGTGTATATTTTTATTATTATAAATAATTGAAATCAGTGCACAAAGTCCAATCAAACTATGGTATTTGTTTAATTTTGGCCTTCCTGTAAATTTGGTGAAATGACAGATGCATTTAGATCACATGACATACTGTATGTGCTTTTTATCCGTTTTGCATATAGTGGCACATTACTAAAACCTGTTAGATCTGTTTGAGATGTTTGAATTAGTTTCTGGTGAAGTTTAGACATGTCTCTGCACTGATACAGTATTTCTCTAGAATTTGCTGAAGGCACTATATGCTAGGCTGCCAATGTTAAACAGCAGTTCTGCATTTTTTCTTTCCCCCATAAAAGATCTGAAGTCTGTGCCAAATTATATGGAATGAGAATCTGCTGTGTCTCGATGTTCCTCTCCACTTTGCGTTATCCTGCATCTTATCATTCAAGGCCACTAAATAAGTGAGAGGTGGCCTGGGGTAAATTAACAAAAAGTAAGTTTTTGTGAGAGCAGTTAGATATAGTTTCAGTGAGGCAAATGTACACGTTTAGGTCAGAATTTTTTCCAAAGTACTGCTGCAAATGTAGTAGGTTTGTTATGTTGAATCTCTGCATCTTGGACCAAACACCTCACTTCAATTATTTGACATGCAGAGATAATCTGAAAATAAACACAGGGCTTGAAACACTTTCATTCATCATCTGGCACAGACTTCTGGGGCCTCATTTATAAAGTGTGCATATGCACAGATTCGATCTTAGAGTGTGCGTGCACTTAAAACCACGCCAGCGCTCATATTTGTAAAAACTGGCTTTGACGTGCAAAAGTGCTTAGCGTCACGTCGGGGTCTGAGCAGACGTACGCACTTTTACTTGTTCGAGTACTGCAGGTTTTTGGAAATGTAAGCTGCTCTTGCAGCTCGCTGTTTTAAATGAAAGAATATGGATGATGAATGATGATCTTTTACTGACATACATTAGAAGTTGTTTGCAAGGCAGAGAGCTGTAACCGTTTGTTTGCGCGAAGGTTCAAGATAATTTGCGATTCATAAGGTGTGTTCGACTTCATTCGGCGCTGCGCAGACCGATCGGCGAGCTAGAGCAGCCGCTTGCAGTCAGGGACGGAATTGAAAGTGGAGACGCGAAGTCGGACACTTTCTGCTCGCGGTAGTGACGCTCTCACGGTGTTTGCATACTCTGTCACCGATGAAGTGAATAACGTGCAATATTTGTCAAATACACAGACATTCCAGAAACGTTTTCATGAGCAACAGAAACACTTTTTATATACTGCTTAATACAGCGCCATCTGTTCAAGAATAAAGTTCAATATAAACATATACTATTTAAATACCAATAAAGTGGGGGTATATATGCTTTTATCTGTATTTATTTATTTTTTGATAAGTGTGACTCGACTACAGTAAAAAAACTTTTACTGTTCTAAAAACAGATTTGTGAGCAGTATTGGAATTGAAGATGTGAGAAACACAAGTCATTGTTGTCATGTGGTGAATTTGGCCAATCGTGAAACAGCTGTGTTGGTTTCTTTGCAACATTTTATAAATGAGTCCCCTGATCTGTTATAGCAGAACCATGGTAGCCTATAACAAAAATATTCTCTCAGCTGAACCACACTGGACAAAAATAAATAAATAAAAATGTGCAGATCTGCTCTTTAACATCAGTAGCCTATTGTGCATTTAGCAAATTCTAGAGAAATGCTGTTTGACAGTGTATGACACGGTTCTGCTGGTGTTCCCTAGTTGGTCACCAGGGGCCCGTTTCAGAAAGGAGGTTAAGTGAAAACTCTGAGCATGTTAACCCTGAAATGAGGGAAACTCTGGGTTTTCCGTTTCAGAACGGGAGGTTTGTCAAACTCAAGAAAGCAGGGTAAGTCAACTCAGAGTTGGATGAACCTCCTTATTGAAATGGGCCCCAGATGTCACTGTGTGTTTTGTTGAGCACATGGCTTGTTGTTTGTTGTTGGTGCCATGTGCTCTCCTGTCTATTGTCTGACCCCGCCCTTGTTATCTCATTATTGTTTTAGATACTCCACCTGTGTCTCCCTTGTTACCCTACTCATTTATTCTCCTTGTGTCTGCAGTCCTGTGCTGGTTCGTTGTTTTATGTCAGTTAGGATTCATTGTGCATATTAGATGTTCCTGTTGCCGTGCCATGCTGTGCCTTGTCCTGGCCTGCCTGTTTTTCCCCCTCGGGGTAGTTTTTGTTAGTTTCGTTTTACGTTGTAAAGAGTAATCCTGCATTTGAGTCCTTGCTTCATCTCTCTCCAGTATCCTGACAGTGTATAGACATGTATAAAATTAATCAGAAACCAATTTCAAACCTCAAACAGATCTAACATGTTTTACTAATGTGCCACTATATGCAATAAGGATAAAAAGGACATACAGCACGTAATCTGATCTAAATGCATCTGCATATGAAACCCATCAACACGAGTGGTAAAACACAGCTGGACTCTTAAAGCATGAGATAATTTAACCAATGTTGTTGTAATTGATTTAATCACAAACAAATATTAAAGCAGCAGCAGCAATAAAAATAAATAAAAATAAAATATAATGCTGAATATGAATGTATGTAAAATTGCCAGATTTATATAACACAGATGATGGCACAAGCAGTGACATTTGAATTGCTACAAAAAGTTATTCAATCTGATTTGAGATTAAGTTCAATTAATTAGGCCTATTTGATGCTCACTTCCCTTCCCTAGACATGCAAAAACATAACCTAAGAAAAGTAGACATCTTAAGTGCAGTGCAATTAAATAGCCTAAGGTGTTTTCCTTTTAGCTCACTGCAAATAAATTGGTATGCAATGCCTTTCTGTCAAAAGAAGACAGACAAGACACAAAACTTGGCACATTTGACACTGAAGGCATAGCTCATTAAAACAACACCAAAAGATGACCTAATCGGAAAACTATGTTTAGATTTTTATTTTTTTTTTAACCAATAAAATAATTTTGACACAAACTGAAACCATATTCCTAGAGTACAATCCCCTCCATAGTTACAGTGAATGACACTTCACTACTTTCTCAATATTAGTGAAATTCTTCTGAAACAAAGATCACGTCTAGAGTCTTATCTCTCAAACCATCAGAAGTTTATGCTTGTTTAAACTTGTACCCTTAACCATGCAGCTCTCTTTAAACATAGGGTTAGGCAAATTAATTGCATACATTCTCTGTTTTGTGGACCAAGTCCATAATTTCTGGTTTTAATTCATTTTGAGAAAATATTTGGGGGATGATTGCAAAAATGTCAATGTGGTGTAACCGTAAAAAACTTTCTACCAAATAATTGATCTTGATTAAAAAAGGTGAAATTCTTAATAAAACACCAGGGGCCTGATGTATAAACATTGCGTATGCACAAAATGGGCATGGAAATGTGAGTACGCAATTTTCCACACACATATCTGGATTTATAAAAAATAAACTATGCGTAAATATGTGTGCACCGTACTGACACTCTAGACCATGAGTATGCACTCTTTTACTGGAGGGAGCGAAATAAGGAAGCAAACAGAATGTTCTACTGTCATCAGACCAATGGACTGTTTGACCAACGAGTGCATCCTTATGTCTGTCGTTACTGTCTATGTTCCAAAGCCATCAAACAAAGTCAAATTCACAAAAATTATCATTATTATTCGCGCAAAAGTATTTTCTCAGAACATGAGTTCTGCTATTTAGAACACAAATTAAAGCGGCATTGTCATGCGCCAAGCAATGCTCGCTGTGATTAATACATTAAATCACATACCACAGGAAAATGCTTAGCTTCATTATTCAGAGTGTCATATTTAATCTAAACGTGTGTCAAATGTAAAACAGACTTTAAAATCCTCTGTTCACAGATGTCGAGCACAGACAGAGAGTAGCCTAATGATAACCTCTTTCGTGCTCTTCCCAATATTGTGACAAACACCATATTTAAAATAAAGAATTTGAAGGAAACTGTGAGATATGTGCGTTTTATTTTCAAAATGTTTTGTTATTGATGCGGTGAGTCAGACAGCTATTTACACTGCAAAAAAAATAAGCCTTATCTCTTCCCATAAAAATATAGGCTATAAACATTCTAAAATATATGTTTACCTTTTAGGCAAATTGCATAAATTAGAATAGTGATGTCTCAAAACGCATTTATAGTCCGTATCTCATATTTTCCTAACGTATTCCTATCCTTAACTGCGTTAAACGTGGTGTCACGTGGATGGAAATATGCATGGAAATGATATGCAGATGACGTTATGCATATTAAAACTAGGTGTTGTAAGCTCCATAAATGGCTATTTCGGGCAGGAGACAGGGTGGAGATTAATGTACGCACAATCTTCCACTGACTGGGTATTACAAAGGGAATTTTGCGCAGGTTCTGGCGTACGCATGGCTTTATACATTTGAAAACTTTTGTACGTATGGAAAATCTTGCTTTTGTGCGTACACACACATTTAGGATGAAATCTATGTAAAGTTTTATACATGAGCCCCAGATCAGCTAGTTTGGCATAATCTTACATTAGTACTATTTAATAGTAAATAAAAGTAAATGGAGCACCATTGTTCTGAATTTTATAATTAACACACATACAGAGACACACACACAGACACAGACACACACACACAGACACACACACACACACAGAAACAGACACAGACACACACAGACACACACACACACACACAAGGACATGTCCTTCTGTCCACTTGACAGAAGGACATGGAAGATGCAGGCCTATGAAGTAGCCAAGAGTCGGACATGACTAAAAGGCTAGAAGAAGAAGAATATAATGTAATATATACATAAATGATTTAATAACGTAGCAGAAGGAAGTGGGTGTCTACATTTGAACATAAATTCACTGATAAAAATGTTGACCAAAGATTGCAATTTACATCTGTAAAATACAATTCATAAAATGTCTGACATTTTATAATTAATATGATATAACAGAGCCCATTTTCCCCCAATAAATGCCACAATACAGTATGAAATTACAATAAGAAAATTTAAATTACAATACGAGACATACGTTCACTGTTCATAACACGCCCCCACATGTCTACGTCACGATGTGGGAAGATTTGCATAACGCCGCCCAAATGTTCACGCAAAGAAAGAAGGCGTAACTTTTATTCTCGCTGTAGTATTGTTGCTGACGGCATGTCGTGAAGGCGCTAGGGATGGACGTTACCACTTATTTTGTTTTCGATATGATACCGATATTTTTCAAGGCAGTATCGTATAGTGCTATAAGTGTCCTTATAGTTTAGGGAAATGGGTGTGCTTTTTGATAAATGGCGTTATGGTTTTGAAATTTTAGTTCAAAAGCCTGGTGATAGTGTTTAAGCAATCGAGAAAAACTGTAAAATTTACATTTAGAGATAACTCTAATAAAATCTATTTTCGTGTGATATTTTAAAATTAAGTATTTATTTCTATGAGTAAGCTTACATTCCATCTACGTGGATAAAATATTTAATATTTCTCATTCTTTGGCGGTTACACCATTTGACATTTTCATGTACATTCAGTCTTAACTTTTGCACAAAAAAAAAAAATGGTGCATATGTCATTTTTAATTACATAAAAGCAACATAAACACGCTGTGTACATTTTAAAACACCTGATGCATGCTTTCAAAACAAGTTTTTAAAAGATTTTTGAATTTCTCATCTTGCCAACCCTTTTTTGTCACTGACCCATATTACTTTTAATATGCATTTCAAAGTTATTTCTCTATTCTGTTCAGAACAGAAAAACTAGTATCTATCTACTTTGCTATTTGACAAAATAGTTTACATGTTCAAACATGTTCCCGAAGTAGTAGCCTACACCTGAAATCAGAAATACAATTGATGCAATTAAAGGACCACAGCGCAACAAAACTTTCAGAGAAAGTATCTGGTTGCCACTGACCTGCTTTCATTGGTGGTCTCAGTGTCTTTTTCCCTGGACATGATGACAGTTGCAGAGCTTCTTAACACCTGTCTGCTAAGATTAGTCTGCACAGTTATGATCCCTCTCTGATGTATGTCATTTAATACCTGATGGATCTTCCACGCCCACAATGCACAAAGGTAAGCTGTTCTGCAGTATAATAAACAGCTGTATTGTCACATCCATCTCAACATACAATATTTTAAATAAAGCACAAATTGGTTTTCTACCAAAACATCGCACATCTGACCACATCTACTCTCTTCATACACTAATTAATAAAAACATCAAGGACAAACAAAGGAAAATATTTGCATGTTTTGTCAATGAAAAAAAAAAAAGCATTCGACTCAATTTGACTTGATGGTTTACTGTACAAACTCCTAAAAAATTGTATTAGTGTAAAAAACTTTAATATTATACAGTCTCTGTACACCAGCAGTAAATGTGCGGTGAAAATCAACAATCACAGAACAGCGTTTTTACGGCAGGGGCGTGGAGTGAGTCCAACTCTATTTAACATCTACATCAATGATCTGGCAGCATCACTGGAGCGATCTGATATCCCCGGCCTCACTCTACACCATACAGAGATCAGATGTCTGCTGTATGCGGATGACCTGCTTCTGCTGGAACAATACTGTCACCAGTGGGCCCTGACCGTAAACCTGGACAAAACCAGAGTTGTGGTGTTCCAGAAGAAGACCAGGTCTCAGGGAAACAAACACCAGTTCACATATAAAGGACAGGTCCTACAGCATAGCACTAGCTACAGTTACCTGGGCATCGACATCAGCGCATCGGGAGACTTTGGTCTGGCTGTCAAAACATTATTGCATAAAAAGCCCTCCGAGCCTTTTCGCTCAGTCACAATGTGGTCAATTAAAACTGCCCATTAAAACTCGGATTAAATTATATAACTCAATAATAAAACCAATTATTTTATATTGATTTGAAATCTGGGGACCAGTACTACATTTTAAAAATTGGAATAAAACTTCAGTAGAAAAACTACAACTAGAAATTGTCAAAAACATGTTAGGGGTCCACAGAGGCACGTCCACCGATGCCTGCAGAGCTGAATTAGGCTTCTACCCACTGACGATTGAGGTCCAGAAGAGATGTGTTCAGTTCTGGCATCACCTCTATCAATCTGATCCTGATTCAATCCAATATAAAGCTCTCCTCGCCAATGAAACCTCACCAGAATCTCATCCTCTAAACACACTCACTCTTCAACTATTCCATAAAACGTACTCGGTTACTTTCGTAACCTTGGTTCCCTGAGATACGGAAACGAGTACTGCGTCGCTAGATGCTTATGGGGAAAACTCCCTTTTCTCCGAGGACTGAAGACTTATTCAATCACGCAGTGTAACTGCACGGCCATTGGTTCATGCAGTGGGATCAGTGCGATCGGAGGAAAAGCATACAGGAGGAGGTTGGGCCATTCGTGGGCCAGCGCGTCCTCGTTCTTCGAAAAATATGTTTGGCAGTGATAGTTGTCTTTTGAGGCAAAGAGGTCGACCTCTCCCTTGCCAAAGATCTCCCAGAGTTCTATAGCCCCCCTAAAATTTTGCGATTAGCTCTATAAACTGTACACAAATTCGTAATCGCCTCAGTCCCCTTTAAAGGGGTCATATGATGCAATTTCAATTTTTCCTTTCTCTTTGGAGTGTTACAAGCTCTTGGTGCATAAAGTGAGGGGCGTAACATTTCCGTCTCACGCTTGAGGTATTCGGCCAATCACAACGCACTGGATAGCTGGCCAATCACAGCACACCTCGCTTTTCAGACCGATGAGCTTTGTAAAAATCTACGCATTTCAGAAAGCCGGGTCATAGAGAAGAAACAATAATGTACAGTATGTGGAAAAGAATGTGTTTTTTTAACCTTAAACCGCATAAACACATTTCATTACACCAAATACACAAAATAATGTTCTTTTTAGCAACATCATATGACCCCTTTAAATTTCATATGAAAACGGCGGCAGACTTCAATCGGCTCCTCCCCATCTTTTAGCGCCTTCTTATTCAATCCGCAATAATAGATTGTTATAATATCTGCATCTGTGCCGTTCTTCGTCATAAATCCAGTTTACATGACAAGGATTTATGACAAAGAACTGCGTGGGAGCAATCGGTTCCACATCTACTGTAAGGTTTTCGCTGCGTTCACCCCTCATCACGCCACAGCTGTTTCCTCCAGTGAAAACTAAGCTCATATGAATGCATCATTTTTATAAAACAATCATGTTGCCATTTTCATTTGAAAATGTATCTTTCAATGTAATACATATTCCAGTGCATGTGGCAAAGAGGTTTGCATAATTGAGCTAAGGAAAGAGGGCTGCACTAGAAATGGAAACAGTACATTTTTGTGTGTGTACAGTAAACAGGGGTGTGTGTGTTTGTGTGTGTGTGTGTGTGTGCGTGCGTGTGTGATCATGAAGATTTGTATTTGGCTTATTCAGTTATATCTATGCAATACAGTGGAATACAGCACTTTCTGGTATATAAGTTTAGTATACCACCCCTATTAGTTAAGCATTGCTTATATATATATATATATAGTATACCCTCATTGGGGGCTGAGCCCCCCTAAAATAAAAATCCTAGAATCGCCCCTGCAGTCTACAGTATGGAGATTTTAGTATCTCACAGAGAAAGGAAGCAAACATGACGCAATCGCACTGAAAGGGTGGAGAAATATTGTTTTACTTTCATTTGTGATACAGGTTCGCTGCACTTTACAGGGATATTTTTAAGTAGCTTTCCCACACGTCTTTAAGATCATCCACAAAGGTAAGTGTGTGTCGTTTTATAGAGAAGGGAAAGTAAGCCTTAATTAGAGCTCAAAGTCAGGTCTGGAGCTGATGTGTTTTGTTAAACCGTGATTATACCGTCGAGTGAAGTGATCGCTTCGGAATAAAGCTGTGAGCGGAGCTTCGACAGTTCAGTAAAGTTATCAATGTTCACAGATGCGAATTTCCCGGATCAATAACTCGTGATCACATAGATGTTTCTATACAAATAACACCTCTTTTCAATCGTAGTAACGTAGACAACGAGCTACAACATAATTCTCCTCAAAACTAGACTTCCTCGTTTCGATCTCTGCGCAGGAGTCTCTCACAAGCCTCAAAACTGCTTGTGTCCTTTAAAAAAAATGAGGAAAATACATCTCTTGGTTTTATTACAAATCCTCAATATGTTCTATACAATACTGAACCACAATTTATTTAATTAAATATACACACTATTTTTAAGTATCACCTTAATTTTTTGATGAACATTACAAGACCCATGATTCATTTTTTTACAGTGCAATAATACTAATAATAATAATAATAAACATGAAACCCACATTTAAAAACGCAAGACATATAGCCTATATTGCACACAATCTAAACATGAAAGCAACGTTTTCAGAACAGCAAACAATGGTCAAGGATCGAAAAATAATAAGTGTACATGAAACATTTAATAACACATTAAAAAAAAATGTATCAACATTTTAAACATTTAAAATCATTATTGCACAAAAGTGAAATATTAATACAAAATTGTCCAACTTGCACACCAAATCTTGTTTTCCTTGGGTATATTTATCTGTTCTTTGTGCTCTCAGACACTTTTGGCAATTTTTTATTTTTATTTTTTTGTATGCTTATGCTGTTTTTTTCACTTCGCTCGTGTTTCCACGTTCTGCGCTTGCTTTTCCAAATGTTGCAGTTAGAGTTTCATGTAAATCAGGGTGGGTTTAAGCGTCATCATTGGTCCACTAGTTCTAGATTGACAGCTCCTCTAGCCAATCAGTCGAAGAGGGGCGTTGACGTCACTCCAACGCGCTTCATTGGCTGCCGATGCTCCGTGTTCTGTTCCGGTCACGAAGCTTTTCGAAGCATTGAATCAATTGAATCAATTGCTTCGAAAAATGATTCAATGTTTCGAAGCACTTGGAACAGCACGCGCTGGCGACACCTGCTGGTGAACACGCTGTACAAGCATCAAGAACTCAGACCAAACTTACAAAACAAATGGAATTTTTTATTTTATTTTTAGAAATACCTTTTTTTTTTAAATAAATAAACACTTAAATACTAATACATATTAGTGCTTGTGTTATGCGTTTTATTTAAGTATAATCAAACCATTAACACACAATTAACAAAATTATTTAATTAATTGATTTATGTAATCATTTAATTAAGTGTTTTCATTAGAGCGGTCTATAAAAACCAGCTTTGATATATATTGTAAACAGATTTGCAGCTTTGTCTTTCATGTACAGTATGCCATTGATAATGTTGTTGGTTTTGTAAGATTCATCACATTTCTTGTTACTCTGAGATTATAAATAATACAGTTAAGCAATATCACACAAGGAATAGTGGTGTGTTCCCGAATATCAGCACCATTGCAAATGTTTATTGAACTGTAGTATCAAATAAATATGACAAGAAGTACATTTTGAGTGAGTTTATTATTGTAACTATTTCTCACTTTGCTCGAGGAGTCCAAAGAAAGCCACAGCAGGACAGTGTCCTCTACGAGCAACACACACCAGCCTTTTGTATTGAATGATTCACTTTATTCTTCACTGAATGAATCAGCCATTTTAACGATTTAACGTCTTACTCGGAACTTGGAACTTGCCAACACCTGTTATACGTTCATATTGTAGCTATATTAAAACGTTATACATTTAAAACATTAATATGATAGTGTTATGCAATTATATATGTACAGTAGCCATGTAAATAAACACGATATGAAATAAATCTGTGTAAATCAAATCCACCTGCCTCTGTTACACTATAATTTTCATTTATCAGTAGTCAAATCTAGCCTAGTCAACGCAAAAAACAAACATTACATTCATTCATAATTAATTTAACAATTTACTCATGTAGCGGATCGCCAGGTAGGTGTACAGCAGTGACAGACAGACACATACAGTATAAGGTGTCCTGCATGGCCAGATGTTACCCAGCTGACACTGGTCTATTTTCACCTGTACACGTGACCAGAACAGAACACAGAGCAGCGGCAGCTAATGAGGCGCATGGGCGTGACGTCAACGCCGCTCTTCATCTGATTGGCTAGAGGAGCTGTCAATCTAGAACTAGTGGACCAATGATGACGCTTAAAGAGTTAGTTAGCCAAACTTGAAAATTCTGTAATTACTCACCCTCATGTTGTTCCAAACCCGTAAGAAAACAGCATAAGCATACAAACAAATAAATAAACAAACAAATAAAAAAAAAATAAATGAAAAAATATAACCGAGGAAAACATGATTTTGTGCGCAAGTCAGAATTTTTTCATTCATATTTTAGTTTTGTGCAATAATGATTTTAAATGTGTTTCAAGTTTTGATTCATGATTAGGCCTTTTTTTAAATGCATTATACAATTTTTGATTTACGCTTATTACTTTTCGATCCGTGACATTTGTTTGCTATTCTGAAAACTTGCTTTCATTTTTTTTTTTATGCAATATATTTTTACTTGCATTTTAACATTTTGGTTTCATCCATATATATATATATATATCCATGACTGCAATACTATAGGCGGAAAATAAATCCCATAGTAATGGTCCCTGTGGGTCTCTACTAGTAATTTGTCACCAAATTAAACCACTAAATCCTAATTTAATATGTCCCAAAACACACTACAGGAAACCATTGTTTGATGGTTTTAATGGTTAACAGTTCATATTCTGTATTGTTTGCAATGGTATTTGTAGTGGAAACCATTATAATTTCGGGGTTTTTATTTTTTTCAGCAGGGCCAAACAGCGCTACTACAAAAGCAGTCAATAATTTAGTCACCAAATTCAGTTCACAAATCACTGCTCTCCTACAGGTTATACTTCAAAACACAATTTGGAAAAAGAATTATGATATTTTATTAACATCTCTTACCATGCAGTGTAATGGAGTCAGATTCAGTTCACACATCAGTGCTCTCCCACTAGTTATACTACAACACTTCGTTTGACAAATAAATACATAAATAAATAAATGTCACACTATTGAATATTTTCAAGTAAAAACAAAAACAAAACAAATAAACAAACAAACAAAAAAAAAACTTTAAAATGCCATTTCAAAACAAATATTACATAAAAGTTATGTAATATTAATGTTGAGGGTTTACCTATATTCTTGCTGTCATGCTCCTTCACCTGAAATGCTGCAGAAACGAACAAAACGAAAGAAAGAGGCTGAATTTGGATCACAGACAGTGAAATGCATCCATAACTGTGCTGCTGATCTTCAGATGACAGATTCTGCAAGTAAAGAGGATATAAAGTGAGACTGAAGTATACATGTTTTAGAGGAATATATATCTCATTAACAGTGATCCAGCATGGCTGTGCATCAGATCCTCCTGGATTGTTTGGATGAACTGGTTTCTGAGGAGTTGGACATATTTAAATGGCACTTAACTCAAGGAATACACGACTTCAAAATTCCCAAAAGCCAGTTGGAGAAGAAATCAAGATGTGATATTGTTGAGTGTATGATCCAGCGTTATAGTCCGTAAAAACAAAAACAAAACAAATACACAAACAAACAAACAAAAAACTTTAAAATGCCATTTCAAAACAAATATAACATAAAAGTTATGTAATATTAATGTTGAGGGTTTACCTATATTCTTGCTGTCGTGCTCCTTCACCTGAAATGCTGCAGAAACGAACAAAACGAAAGAAAGAGGCTGAATTTGGATCACAGACAGTGAAATGCATCCATAACTGTGCTGCTGATCTTCAGATGACAGATTCTGCAAGTAAAGAGGATATAAAGTGAGACTGAAGTATACATGTTTTAGAGGAATATATATCTCATTAACAGTGATCCAGCATGGCTGTGCATCAGATCCTCCTGGATTGTTTGGATGAACTGGTTTCTGAGGAGTTGGACATATTTAAATGGCACTTAACTCAAGGAATACACGACTTCAAAATTCCCAAAAGCCAGTTGGAGAAGAAATCAAGATGTGATATTGTTGAGTGTATGATCCAGCGTTATAGTCCTGATGGAGCTGGGAAACTCACTCTGCTCGTTCTGGAAAAGATGAATCAGATGAATCAAGCAAAAGAGCTGCGGGAGAAGCTAGGTAATTTACATTTAATAAATGTATGCATTACAACACAACGTTTAACCATGTGCCAAGACCAGCAACATACAATGCAGTGTTTTATTTCACATAAAACACAGATATATACATTACGGTTACAAATTCACAATTACATTGTACCGCCACTGTATATATTTCAGGGCATTTGATAATGTTTGATAATGTCACAATATACTGATAAATGGATTAATGGAATTTTTGTGTATATTCTTTAATTTCCTTAATACCCTCAGTGGATAACCATGTCCTATGTGAGGAATAGCCAGCTAAATAAATAAATACAAATTATCCATCTTCACCCAGGTCATATGGATACACAGCAGTCCAAACATACTGCTGAGGCTGGAGCACCACAGAAACAAGAGAGATGCAAACTTGGTAATCAGTCTATCAATAAATAAATACATTATAAACAGCTATTGTGCTTGGTAGTGAGCGATATTTAAGACATTCAAAACTGTTGTTTTTGTGTTATGTACTACTGCACATTTCTTCTATCCAGAGATTATTCATCAAGCGGCTGTTATACTGTGTCCACAGGCGCTGAGTTTGTGGACAAGCACAGGACAGTGTTGATCCAACAGGTCTCACTGGTGGAGCCCATTGCAGACGACATGAAACCTCTGATTGGCGACGAAAAATACCGTATCGTCTTAAACTCAGGAACACCACCAGCACAAATGAGAGCTCTTCTGAATTTCCTGAGCACAACTAAACTGAAAGAGAATCTTTACCAAAGTCTTAAAACACATGAGAAATCCCTTGTTGATGATTTGGGGTGTTCTGAGTAGATGGGTTTGATTTGGCTTTTTGTCATTCAAAAGGTATACAATAAAACAAAATCGGTTTCCATTGCAAATGACAAACAGGTTTTGGTAACATCCTGTGCATGCTGTCTTTGTTTGCTTATTTGAGCTTTAATAAAATATCTAAAACTCTGAAATCTCTGGAAGCTTTCTTACCATTGCCTTCTCACGCATTTGTTTCTTCCATTTAAACCCTTCAAATGGTTGATTTTGGGTAAAATAAATGGTAAACGTATTCTGAAATATAATGGAAACATTACACAAAAATAACTCCCATTTCTCCATCTATTCATTTCTCACCGTATGAACGCTTCTACACAAGTCTTTTGACAAACCGCTTACAAAATAAGCTACCTTTTCACGAGAAAGTGGGTGGCTCTTAAAAGAGCCTTTGTGTGTGCGCGCTGCAGCGGAGCTCTACTTGGAGCTGGTGTACTTGGTGACGGCCTTGGTGCCCTCAGACACGGCGTGCTTGGCCAGCTCCCCGGGCAGCAGCAGACGCACGGCGGTCTGGATCTCTCGGGAAGTGATGGTGGAGCGCTTGTTGTAGTGAGCGAGACGAGACGCTTCACCGGCGATGCGCTCGAAGATGTCGTTGACGAAAGAGTTCATGATGCCCATCGCCTTCGAAGAGATCCCGGTGTCAGGATGAACCTGCTTCAGCACTTTGTAGACGTAGATGGCGTAGCTCTCCTTCCTGCCCTTTCTGCGCTTCTTTCCTCCCTTCGCTGCGGTCTTAGTGACGGCCTTCTTGGATCCCTTCTTAGGCGCGGACTTCGCTGGTTCAGGCATAATGACGCTGCGTGATCAAACCTCACGAGACGATAATTAGAGTGAGCAAGACAGAGGCATTTATTCACTAATCTATGCTAATTGTCACAGAGATGTGGACGCTTCTGATTGCGTGTTTTCACAGACTGAACCCATAAACCCGTGTGTGATTGGACAACTCGAAGTATCACGAGCGGAATGAGGGCCAATCACAGGCGGTGAAATGATAGCCCCGCCCACCGCTCTGTGTTTGAACGACATCAGCCCACGTGACTAAGTTTCCTTTGTTTCAATTCCCGCTCTTTTTGTTATATTCTATACAAGAAAACAAATCCGTCTTAAATATCACACAGCATAAATATCA